CCCCCCCTCCATATCAAATCGATTTCTAAATTCCAGTTCTTTTGTTTAATGATTGCGCATGAGAAGACACACAAATATGGATACAACTCAAACGAAGAATCACCCCAAAAAGAATGACACGTGGTCTGAAATGGGAAAACATTTGACTCAATGTTTCGAGATCTATCGTCTATTGATGTCTTAATTCTTTTCGATTCTTTTCCAGGGTGATCAGCCGCGCACCAGGCATCAAGATTGTAGTAGAGACATTGATCTCGTCTCTCAAGCCCATTGGTAACATCGTCTTGATTGCTGCTACGTTCTTCATCATATTTGGGATTCTTGGGGTACAGGTAAGTGACAATAAAAAAATAAAAAAACAAAATAAAGCAATTGGGATTTGACAATTTACATTTATACAGAGTAGCTCTTTATCCACTATTAATATTCCAATTGGCCACTTTAGAAACGAGCTGTAGCCTGGGTCGAGTTTAGACATGCAAAGGCGCTGGGGATTGTTACAGGGGACACCTGCATACAAACAGACATGGCAGAATGCGCAAAAAAAAAAGGGGTAACAGACACAAAAATTGAAATATCTATCACTGAGAAAGCGTTGAAGATTGTAGCTCTGTCCCCTGTAAGAATCCCAAGCGTCTTAATTTGCGTGTCTAAACTCGACCTAGGCTACTGCTTGTTTCTGAAGTCCTGAATAGGACGTCTGCATGATGGTGTCATTTGACTCCCACTAGCATAGTGCTTCACGAATATTGCTTCTTATTCAAATTTGGCTTCCCTCATGAGAATAATAAGACAATCGCATTCAAGATAGTTTTAAGAAGGATGCATTTTAGGAAGTGATATTTGTTGTTCATGAAGGATTTGATTCGCTTAGAATCAATTTTAGTTGAGAAATCGTTGGGAATTAAAATCTGCCGGCATTTGATCCGTGCACGGCAATTTGTAATCATGAGAATAAGTCGATTTAATAGTATTAATCTTGTTGTAGCTTTTCAAGGGAAAGTTTCATCATTGTGTTGGAGCGAGCGGCCCTGTCACCACCAAAGCAGAATGTATAGAGAAGAATGGAGAATGGAAAAACAAAGAATATAACTTTGATAATCTAGCCAAGGTGAGAAAGAAAGCGACAAATATGAGTGTTCGGGTGTTCGGGTGTTCGGGTGTTCGGGTGTTCGGGTGTTCGGGTGTTCGGGTGTTCGGGTGTTCGGGTGGATGGATTGATGGATGAAAGAATGGATGGATAAACGTACTGAAGGTATTGAACATTTCCAGGCACTTCTTACGCTCTTCGTGTTTGCAACAAAAGATGGTTGGGTGTCTATCATGTACGACGGCATTGACGCTGTGGGCATTGATAAACAGGTGAGTAGTCACGTGACTATCACGTGACATGATAAACAATGCTTCCCGCTTTGGTATTCCTTTATGGGTTTTTTCCCTTTTTCTACACTTGTCTTGCGTTTCCTTATTTTCTCTTGTCTTTCCCGTCCCTTTTCCCCATCTTTATCCCATTTCTTTTCCATCTATTTTCTTCACGACTCTTTTTATTTTTCTTTCTAAACTCTTTAAACCAAATTCTGTTGTTTTAGCCAATCAAGAACTACAGTCAAGTGAAGGTGTTATACTTCGTTGCCTTCTTACTGCTTGCTGGGTTCGTTGTCCTCAACATGTTGGTTGGAGTCGTGGTAGAGAACTTTCAAAAATGCCGAGGCCTGATCGAAATGGAACGAAACGAAGAAGAACAGAAGAAAAAAGAAGATGAGAAGAAGAGAATTAGTGAGTAAACTCCAGTTTCGAGTTTTCTGTTGCTCAGGAATAGCCTCTATTTTGTTTAGAATATTCACATATTCCAGTGAAGGTCCGTCGAGTTTCAAAATGTTTGTATTGTTGAAGTTACGCATTCTTTACTTTACCGATGGTATTTGTGAATATTTAGACACTGATTCGAGGCTAAGCCTGAGTAAATGAGTCTGTAATCAAGGAACACAGCGGTATTTTATAAATTCGACAAAGATCTGTTGAAAAAGGGCTATTTAGCATACAAGCGTTTTCACATGTAAGAGAGTTTAGTCATTCCAGATCAGTAGTTTTTCAAATTATTCGGCCTTATTTCGATTTGGTGTAGGAATTGCTAAAATAAAAATGTGGAGACACGTGACCTAGAGTCTACGTAATCACGTGGTCTTTGACACAGGGATCCCATTATTCATTTTCATCCATTTTTGATTTTCTTTTTTACAGAACAATGTGAAGAAGAAGAAGCACTAAGCGAACACTTTTCACAACCTCGTCGCTTCATCCATCATATCTGTACTCATGGCTACTTTGATCTTGCAATAGCTGCGATCATTGGCCTGAATGTGATCTGTATGGCGTTAGAACACTATAACCAACCAAAAGCATTAGGAACCTTTTTAGAATCTGCCAATTACGTATTCACCGCCATCTTCATTTTGGAAGCCATTTTGAAAATTTATGCCATGGGATTTAGGATTTACTTTCGAGACAAGTAAGTTAAAAGCTATAGTCTCCTACGCAGCCGCTATTAGTGTCGTCACGCAACGCTCATAGCGGCTGCGTAGAAGACTAGTTAAAGTCGAGATGTGTGTTAAGAGTTGTATGCATAGAATATTGAATGTAGTGGTAGTGAGAGTGATTGGAAGAGGAGCCAAATTGGAAACTAGTTTTATAGTAAATTTTCACACTCGCTGATAAAAAGGATTTTTATGATACACTTCTTCAATCCGTCCAGCCATTCTTTCATTTGTTTGTTCATTCATTATCCATTCGTCCTTTTTTCCTTAATCTGGGTCGCGCAGCACTTTTACAATAAACAGGATGGAAAACGGAGGGGGGGGGGGGGTAGGCAACAGGGAGTAAGATTTCTGATATGTGTTTGGCAAGTAAATCCCCCCTCCCCCTTCCTGGTAAAAACGCAGCCCCTCATAGCATTGCTTATGTGTTTTGTCTCACAGATGGAACCACCTGGACATGTTGATAGTCATCCTGTCTGTTGTTGGCATCGTGTTGGAAGAAATGAACACCAAGGAACTGCCAATCAACCCAACCATCATCCGAGTCATGAGGGTATTGAGGATAGCAAGAGGTGATAAATACGTCCATTCATTGTTACCCGTTACAGACTACGTGTCATTCTCTTGACTAGAGTTGCACCCATATCCAGGTGTCTTCTCATGCGCAACAATTAAACAAAGAAATATACTCAAGAGAATGACAGGTGGTCAGACCTCTTTACATTGGGTGTAATGTTTTTCCATTACAGACCACATGCCATTCTCTTGAGAATAAGATTCTTTGTTTGAGTTGTATCTATATCTATGTGTCTTCTCATGCGCAA